TACGGTTTTCAAGCACAGGTGAAAAGCGAGCCCTCGCAGCAGCACGAAATTTTCAGTTACCGTTCATTTCTACATGCATACCTTTCTAAACCAGAAATACATTGTACTGGTCACACAGACCCGTTTAGCACTTCAAATTTTCACATTTGGATTACTCATAACTTTAAACTAAGATGACCTCAGATGACCTCTGGGTCAGCATCAAATCGTATCTTTGTGTCCGGAATGCTTTTTTCCACAGCTGTACCTAATGGAATATATGAAGTCAGAAGCATATCGTGAAAAAGTATCGTTCTTGTAGCTGTTGGTAGACCAATTTTGAACGGTGACCTGATATGACACCACCCTTGTGAGGGAACAGGAATGCTCTAAATTGGCTCCATACAGCCTTTACGCCTATTTCCGGGCCCCCAAGATCCGTCTTAAGGCGTTGACAAAGGTTTCAACTGCATAGATCGGAACGACCGTTTCCTGATCTTTCTTGACCTCTGGTGACCCCACATTCCATCTTAGTTAATTTTTAGCCTTATTTATGCTTAGCTGAAACCTTAACAAAGATATATTCTTTCTCATACGGCGTCTGGAAGCTGGACATCCTGGGGGGAAGTGGACTCCCTCCTCCGACCGGGCGCGGTTGTCTTAGACCCCCGGCCGGGCGCGGGCTAACAAAAATCATACATATTCTAACCTCTTATTATGGATAGGACTATAACAAGCGGCTTACAGGTCCAGAGACGCGCCTGGACAGCAATTACTTGTGCAACACAAAATGAAATCACAAAACTGATATCTCGGTTTCTCGCCCGTGTCTGAACACTCCCAAACATTCCGCTCCGCTGAACGCTCCAGGACGATGGAAACACTCTCCAGGCTTTTGGTTATCATAATATATATTTTAGACTCAGTGTGTCTGATGCAGAGCAGTGCAAGTTTTATTGGCTCACGCATCATTTAGCTGCATCGCGATTGCTGCTCTCCTCTGAGACTCCAGCATTCCCCTTGGGGCACCCCCTCCCCCGTTTGGGACGGCCTGCATTAGGCGGCCATCCTCAGCATCGCGACGCTCACCTGCCGTCACGCCGGCAGGCAGCCCAGTTTGAGGCTCCCGCTCCGACTCCTCCAAACAGAGGCGCCCACCGGCCGCGGTCAGCCGTCGGAGCGGCGCCGTCGCGCGCCGCCCGTGTTTGCCGCTGGCCGGCCGGCCGGCGGACGGCAGCCGTCGCCGGCACCTGGCCCGGCGCGGTCCGATTCCCATCGGCAATAAATGGCGCGGCGGGGCGGCGACGGCTGCCACCAGCCGCCGCACCGCAAGTCAACGGCGGCTGGCTTCGCCACACTCGTAACGAAAAGGTGGCCACCACTTGATTTGAATGGGCGATGGGCGTCGCTGTATGGTTCTTGGTCGTACTAAGTTTTCTGCGTGGCGTCGCATCATTTCCTTATGCTTTGATCGATGCCGCCCCGTCACTTCTGAAGTGCACGTGGCGCGCGCACAGCTGTGCATCAAGGGCACGCAGTCGTGTGCTGTGAGCCTCATTCGAATGAAATACACTTCTTTGTGTTGGTCTCCACCACCCCTGCATATGCACTCCTGGAGATGCCACTAAATGCAACGGGCAGAACTGTATTCAAAGCACTATTCGAGGGGACAAATTCATATTTAGAAGGAGGAGCAGTTTCCCTACCCGATGCTTTTAGCGTTGGGGTTAGCATGACATTTGGGAGGCCAGGCTTCCAGCATTGGGGTTAACATGCTATTTAGGAGGCCGAACTAAACATGGGGAGGGGGAGGGGAGCAGAGCACTCTCAGACGGACATGAAGCTTCACTCGTAACTCGTGTATGCTCCCACTTCTTCCCGCAACTTCCTGATGGCGACAATGGGCAGCCGCCTCTCCAGCATGAATAACTTACTAAAGAACAAACATTACGCACCGTATCCATCAGCGCGTTGCATGCGGACTGCCCTAGCCCTAAGCACAGTTTTTAGAAATATATTTACATACCTTAATATGACCCATAACAAACAACCCCAGAACCAGTCCCAAAGAAGAGGACAAAGCAAGAAATCATTGCGCGTGATAGCGGTCACTTTTTCAGCCCACCCGACCCAATCGTTCTCCCGCTTCACAGCTTTCGCGAAGTATGAGCAGCACGCGAATGAAAACCTGTCTCCTAAGAAAGTGCGCGCGCATGTCAAGCATGCCCGCCATATTAAATCTGGTCCTTCACTCGTCAACACTCAGCCCATTGTCAGTCTCTCAATCGTGTTGTCAAGGCAATTTTCGGCGGACAGTCGAAACAGCTAGGAAACAAACAAATAAAAAATGGCATTGTCTTGGGCCGCACACGATTCTGCACAGTTGCCACTACGTACCATTAACGTGCGGGCAAATGCATAGCAAAATCTGTCACCATCGATGTTATATAGCATACATCAGCCTGCCTGCGGAATTTTGCCACGAACCCAAATTTGGTTAATGTACGATCGTTGCTGGGCTAATCCAAGTAGTTATGTGCTCTTTTTGGTTGCGTGCAAAAAGGAGGGTCAGATTGTCTATTTGGTTACAAAGCCCTTGGATTTTATAGGTAGAACACAATCTTGTACTGACTCCAGTATGAAATATAAGAATGCAGGATATCTGTGCCATGTAACATCCTCTAGGTCCTGGCTGGTTTTTGGCAAATTTTAGATCCGGATTCATAAAATGTGCTCGCTGCTTTGACATTACACTAACAAATGTGTGCTGATTTTGCAACAAGCTTTATAGCTAATGCTGCATCCTGTTCAATTTAACACTTTGAAATGGTCGGTTAATATGCACCTGAGTGGCCGATTGACTACCCTTTGCTTAGGTGCGGTCACTTTGACCAGATTTCAGCAACTGAGAGGGTTGGAAACACCAAATTCGCCTGATGTACTAGCCTGCACGTATACTCACTTGTGTCAAAACTTGAAGTTCCTTGATTATGATCTTCGGGTCAAATAAGGTCAAAAAGGCGAAGCTTCAGATTGGTGTCTTAGGTGCCTGTAGAACTGTTCTAAGTTAAGAGCAGCCGGCGCTTATCTAAGGTCAGTGACCCTGTTTAACCTTTCGCGGATCATGGTGGCATACAAGACTGCTTTCAGCTTTCCATTTCAATAAGCGTCAAAGGTAACGCTAGGCAGTATATTCCTTACCCAAAATGTTGAACTGGGTCATTTCACGTCAGTGACCTATGCTAATCTTTGAGGAGTCGATGGAAATGTATAATGCATTTCCCGCCATCAATAAATTCTGAATGAGCACCAGAAACTTTCCCACACAGCAAGCTCGTGAGTGATGAGACAGATCGGTTCTGAACTTGGTCTGACCATCATACATGACTCTAGGTCAACGGAATTTTTGCATCCAGTTATTGTATTGCCTAAGAAGCTATCCAAGATGTATGGTTTCGTCTAGCACTCCATTGTTGCATCAAATTGGACGATTCTCTAGAAATCATCTTCGCTGAATACATGGCCTAAGTGTGACCTACCGTAGGTCAACGACATTACAAGGTATTTCAAAATTTTTGATACCAAGCGATTCGCTGCTGAATTGCCTATAGCCATGCAAAATTTGGCGCGGCTACGCCGCGCCGCTCGCAAACCATTTTGGAGAAACCTTCGGGACGGTCAAATTGACCTCTCCACTACCCGAGCTTGTGTTAGTTTGCGGCGTGCTGTATTTCCTCACGTAACCATTTCAAACTTGAGCAGTACGGCTCGCTGGCACGACATTGTTAGAAATGGTCAGCTCTCGGCTCAGCTCATGAAATTTGCAAAGAACGTGATTCAGCTCATGGCTTAAAGCGACATTTTTCCTAACTAGCCAACTCAGCTCGCGGCTCACCCGAAAACGCCTGCCTCGTAAGCCAATTCAGAACACAAATCAGCCTGCGAGGTGTTAGCTTTCAGCCCGACTGTGATATTTTCCATTCCAGTACTCAAGCTATGTTCCTTGACGCCCAACCATCGACATCTCGTGTGATTTAGACCAACTAGTGGTTCAGATACAACGGCAGGCCACACCGGTGAAGCTAGCACCACCTGTAAGCTTTTACGTGATAGGTGGCGCTAGTGAGTGGGAACATAACTGTGGCCTGGAGAAAGAACCTTTGCAAAGCAAAATTAAGTTTTATGGAACGCGGTTACATGCATAACATGAGGTCAAGGCAGTTTAATTTGGGTATGATGCGTACGACATCAAAGTTGCGCTAGGCATAAATTCAGGGACATTAGGTAAGGGGTTTGGGAGGCTGCTGCTTCCATGTAGCAATTGACGTTTGCCTACCTCCATGGGTTTCGTCATATAATGCTCCTCTATATGTTGTTAACTCTTTACTGTGATTTAATAAAGCCACCTGGGCATCTCTATCTTCATCATTTCCTTGGATCTTTACCTACAACCCTTAAATCTTCATCAGCCTTGGCCATATAGGGACGTGGAGCCAGTCTGACCTGTATATGCCTTGTAAAATGGGCTGAGGATTAAAATAAAACGGAGTTTCATGCTTGTCGCATGGTCTCACCCCCGGGTAACCCATTAAGTTGTACTACGCGTAACAATACGTTAGCATACCAATAAACAGACGTGAAACCACTCACTCCCGTAACTCGTGTGCACACATCATAATGGGCAAGGAATTATAAAGAAGGTGTTCAATGTTTGAAGCATAAACCTGCATCAGGCTTACTACTAAATTCAATTGTCTCTGAACATTAAATTTGCGATAAAAAATATTGCTTCAGAAACGCCTAATATAACACGTCGTAAATAGGATTAACAAAGCGTAACATAGCAAGAACAACATAATTTTTCAGAGGACAGCCTAGCTAAAGCTTCCATGATAAAGTTTTGCAGTGGGATGATGCAGTGAAGTAAGGATTACGCGGACATTCGTGTGCCTCTGTGAGTGCCCCCACTGCTAGTGGAAGGTGAAGCATGACGGCACACACTACCGTTTGCCGTGACGTACCTGCTACCAGCAATATTATCCGGAAAGTCAGCATCGTCGCCTTGTGGGTTTGAAATGGCGTTCGCTTGGGGCGCGCACAGCTCATGCGCCGCATTCTCTTGGCAGTCCTTGACCTCTGCGCTACAGAGGGAGACGATCTGCGGTACAGAGAACAAACAGTCAGTACCGTGCCTCTCACCCTTCGCCCCCCCCCCCCCCCCTCCCTTTACTCTTCATTCTTCATATCTACGGCTTCATTTATTCACTTATAGACGGGCTAGTTGGTGTGCTCGGCAATGCCCGGGTGCTGAAAAAGTGTATTTCGCGAAGTCACGATCTGATGTAGCTGTGTTTTAATGATAGAATATTGATTTCACTTGTGTCATGGGTATTCATATTTCTACCTCTATGTTGTGCTGGAAACCGGTCCAACGTGATTGTCGGCCGCAAATTGTTTTCTGGAGCAATAAAACCTGCAATTTTTCTTTAAGCCTCACGATCAGGCGTCAAACTTCCAAGAAACAACTTGCAAATGGCAACGTGCAATCTGCAGAAGTTACACACCAGTCTCAAATTACCCCCTAAGGATCACCCACACCATGTTTTCATCGGCGTGCGTCGCAGTCCTGCTGCAGCTGCATTCCTTGCGCCCAAAACCTTGACGGTCGCAAAGCTTTCCAGTGCACACATACTCGGCCTTGTCCCCAGCTGCGCCAGGCTAGACAGGCAGGGTGCTCACTCTGGGGCAGCCGACGTAAAGCTAACCACGGCAGAATACTGGCTCAATCAGATTGAGACCTACCGCCTTTCAGGGATTGGCCTTGGCTGTTGCCTATGGCTACGTTGGAGTTCTGCTTGACGGGAAACTCGATCCATTTTTACAGGAAGGGCATATCACATGGGATAAGCAAGATTCATGGGATTAAGACGATCGCTTCCTTGACCTTGCCTATTACAGTGATCGCCATCGCAAAACCTTTATAACCAGCAGCAGAGTGTCTCGGAGCCAGGATGCAAGATTCCGTAAGCCAGGATGGCCTACTCGGTAAGCCACGATGGCCTACGCGGTAAGCCAGAATAACCTATTTGGTAGGCAAGGATGGCGTGCTCAGTAAGCCAGGATGGCCTACTCGGTAAGCCAGGATGGCCTATTCGGTAAGCCAGAATGGCCTACTCGGCAAGACAGGATGGCCTATTCGGTAAGGCAGAATGGCCTACTCGGTAAGCCAGGATGGCGTGCTCGGTAAACATGGCCTTCTCGATAAGCTAGAATGGCGTGCTCGGTCAGCCAGGATGGCCTAATCGGTAAGTCAGGATGGTCTACTCGGCAAGCCAGGATGGCGTGCTCGGTAAGCCAGGATGGCCTAATCAGTAGGCCAGGATGGCCCCTTCGGCAAGCCAGGATGGCCTAATCGGTGCGCCAGGATGGCGTGCTCGGTAAGTCAGTTTTGATCTTGGCGCCATTCTTTAAGGTCGAAAGAACTTGGCCAATAACTGTCGACAACTTGTGCGATCTCGCCGGAAGGAGCTCGATTTAGCTGTCTTACCCCGGATCCAGCCGTTGCCCGCTTGAAGCAGTTGATTGGCGAACTGCACTGCTGTTTGTCATCGTTTCAGTGCGAACGCACCGGTGTTGCGACGCCTTTTGATGCTCCCCTCCCCACTTACCATTTGTTCCGCTGCTATTTATAAAACGCCATGGATAAACAGTTAACTAAAAGCCTTTTCAAGAGCCACCACTTGATCTGTGTTGGTCAGCTACAATGGCCATCGTCGCATTCTGGTTTTCATTTCATCCGTCCCCTTGCAACTGGCTCGGGTCCGATTGGCTAGCACGCGGCAGCCGATGACCCTCGCTGCTCCAGCCAGTTCCAATGGCGCGCAGCCGACCGGGGCCAATGTTAGCCCTGCGGGACAGGTTTGCTCGCGCCGCACCACGAATGGAGATCCGATCTGGACAGTAAGATGACATAAACCTTCCTCTCGCCACGCTGCCTCAGAAGTAGCATGTTTAGGGTTTGGGAGCTTGCCACCGACGGTTGGTAAACGTTGTTATTAGAGGCAACAAATCAAAGTCTCTCATGTATTAAATAATGTAATAACAGGACAACCTCCTGCGTCTACTTATTACAGAGCTATTTAATAGCTATTTAATAGCTCTATAATAGGGTGATGACAACAAAGTGTGATGTTAACAACAATAATGATGTTATCGTCATGTGCACAACAGAAGCACCCTAGGACAGGCACGATCAAAAGGAATGGGCCTACCAAAGAAGTGCTACTAGTCTTGTTGGTGTGGTCTTATGGGTAGTCTTATTGTCACTGAACGAGCGGAAAATTATCATTAAAAAAGCAACGCATGCAGCTTGCAGGTGCGCTTCGTCTCCAACCGTTGGACCACGGACTAAAACACTGCCATAATGGAACAAAGCTGTTCCATTATTGCAGCAGAACTACTTCTGCATGTTCGCCTCAAGTTGGCTCAATCTGCAAAGCCTTGAATAATCTTGAAGATGACAATATAATAAACCTGGCAAAAAGAAAGAGTTGATCTGCGATTTTCCGGGTATCACTCAAGCGAGGCCGATATTTTGTGAAGCAGACCATTATATCTAGTATATCTCTGATCCTCGGGCACTGGTGAGCTACAAGGTCGTAGGCCGGGAAGTTACAAATGCAACTCTGTCTGTAACTTTGCACTCCACCAGCAACCATCTATGAGCCATACTGTCCGGGCTTTATTATGTGTTTTACAAGCTATACACGCTATTTCAATGACGTCTGAAATATTGAAGGCTGAAAAGATGGACCGTAATGCAGAACGGACAAAATAAATGCATGAACATTAAAGTAACTACCTGAAATGATTCAGGTGAGTGAGCGGCGAAACGATCAACGTATGAAACGTATGAAGCGAAAACGATCTGTCAGCAGGTCCAATCCCTTTCAGGAAAAGTAAAAATTATACGGCCTACGCATGGTGACGAAATGCTATAAAGAAGCCAAACGGCGAACAAAAACAATGTGAGTTAAAGGGAATGCCCAACATTTCATGATATGAAAACAGGCATCACATATGATGAAATAAGCTCACTTCTAATTATTGATATGCCTTTAGGCACAACAGACTGTTCCAGACAGCACAATTTCGCTGTTCAGTAAATATGCTCCTCAATACGTCATTGCTTGATTACGCCATCATGCCTTGCACAACATTGATCTGGAATCAATTGACGTTCGGTTCTATCTGTAAACCGTGATCACAAACGCCAGATAAAAACAATTGGCAATGCTTTTTCCTTGGCCCTGATCGCCACATGACTAATGCAATGGCAATATTTGGATAACGTTATTATGGCGTCAAGGACGCCCGGGTGACCTTGAAAGTCTCCTCGAAATAGTGTGCACTTCTTCGCGGGCGTGTAGGCAGGCCTGAAAATAGAAGGGTTTAGGTATTAAGAAGGGCTGGGCTGTGAGCTGTACGGGATGATCTTCAAGATGGCTATTTCAGTTAAGACCCCATACAAATGTGGAACACTCCTTTAGAGAGCAGCGCCACAGTAGCCAAAAGGAACACAACTTAAAATCGGATCGAGTTTTAGTGCTCACAAGACCTATGTGACGAAGGCACTCACTTTCGTAAGTAATATCGATTAAAATGGGTGATCTACGCGTTTGTACTCAGGCAGGCTCCACATCAGCAAGACAAGCCAGAAATGATTGCTCGATTTCAAGGTCGGGAACACGGGCAATCGCCACTAAAAGCCACTCAAAGGTTCCTGCCGTGAGTATATGTACGGGGACGGGCCACTTCAGTCGCAGTCACGAACTGAAAGTCAATAATTAGCGCGATGAAATGCCGTACGGGGCAGCTTGAGCCGGTATAATTTGCAGGTCAACCCCACGCCTACACGAGCCGCCAACCACGCCACATCATATTGACGGAGCCTGTCATTAAGCCGCAACCCTGGCGGCGCCCCTTTCAAGTGCGAGACGTCACGGCACCCAGGTCCTCACGTGTTTATTCGATACAGGCGCCGTGGGAATCGATGTCGGTACGGCGGATCGGATTCGGAGCAGCAAGACCTAACGAACCGCGATAATGCTGGCGAACCGACTAGAAATTCCGCGGCTGTCAGCTCTCGATCGGCCAAGACAGAAACTGCTGGATCGGAAGCCTGCACCGCGGGCGTGCCAACTCTGGCTCCTCCCTTTAGAGATTTGGCGTACTACGAGACGTTTGGTTGGGCCTTTTAAATGCACGATGGTATATGCAACCGTTAAAATTCTCTTCGTACTTAGCATTCCTCCGATGTGAAAGGCGCTCGTGTACATTGATGTGGGTTTGTACTATCGCTGATGCATTCCAAATTTTGCAAAGACTGCAAAACCTTGCATGGAACTAACAAAGAAAAAACAACAACTGTTATTGGAATGGAGAATGTCAAAAACCGTTTGAAAGTCTGAAGCTCTCATTGAAGCTCCTGTGCTAGCTCACCCAGATACCTCAAAGTCGTATGAACTTAACGCCGATGCGTCAAACCACGCCATTGGTGCTGCTCTTGTGCAAAACACGGAAAATGGTGAAGGAGTAGTGCAATATCTCCCACATCAATTGAACGCTACAAAACAATGGTGGCCTTCAGTCGGAAAAGAAGCATACGCGATAGTTATCAAGCATACGCGATGTCGCTTATTCAAACGCGGAACTCAAAGCAGTCTTGTATGATTTTGTTCACCATGACATTTAAAAGGTCAAGCAAAGTTAATAAGTCAATGGCCTTAAATGAGCATGTAAACTTTCGCTTAGACCAGTTACCTAGGTTCTAGGGGCCCTTGGAGACCAACCTGGAATTTGCCCCTGTTTGACCTTCTTTGACCCGAAGATCACAATCTAGGAACTGCAAACTTGGACCTAAGTGAGTCCATGTACAGGTCAACACATCTTGTAAATTTGGTGTCTCTAGCTCTTTTAGTTCCTGAGATCCCAGGGGTCAAACTGACCCCCGAGCGAAGGTCATTCAACCGGCAACCCGGGCGCTTGTTAAACAAATCTACCTTGCTATCCTTCTTGCTGTCAACCTTTGGTGTGCTATGCGCCTGAATTGTATCGATGTCTGACGCTTCTGTGTTTGGATCGCGGCAGATAATTTTGTCAGGTAAACATTGTTCGTCCAAACTTTCCTCTCTCATTCGTTTTCCATATTCCTCTCGTAAATATTCTATGTCAGGTATCTCCTGATCAGAATCTGATTCTGGGTAAGGTCTCTTCAGTGGCTCGAGTTCGTCTTGGTTTCGAATTGGTTTTGCCAATTCAGCGAGAGGCATGTTCTCCATTTTGTCATAATTCAGTCGACGAGAAGGTTCTGACAGTGGGATATCATCTACATCGTTTTCACTTGGGCAGTCTGACACGTGACTTTTGGTTTTTGGAGATATTTGACATCTAGGGTCAGAATTATAACTAGGAGCTGGTAGACGTGGAACTGGATCCGCGTGTTTAAAGGAAGGTTCATATTCCGTAACCAACTTTGGCTTTCCAGGTGGTTGCAGGGAGGGGAATGCATGATTTCTGCATCCGTTGTCCATGGAGTGTCTGAATCAGTCAAACGCAAATTTTGAATGTTGACCACTTTTATTTGGTCCGCCAACTGACTTTGTAGTAGGAATGTGACATAAAAAATGAATTTAAACCCGCAATGAAAGGATTTCGAGTGAGAAGTGAGTTTAGAGGAAGGGTATGCAACGACCGAGGGATCCCTAAAATGCACCATGTCACCAACTTGAATCTTGATTAGTTTCGCCTTTGGTCGAAGTACAATTTGTTTTTCCCGTGGCGTAAGGCCAGGTCATGCCGAACTTGGTGATGAGTGATCAAGATTTTCCAGCATTCTGGGAACTTTCTCATCTCCTTGATATTTGAACTTAAGAGATAAAGGCGTGTTCATGGAGAGAGCTGGATCCCGACTATGCACGACGAAAATGGGTTTGATTTTATACTATAATTGTTTGCCGTTCTATGTGCCGAAAGAATAGCAGTAATTCCGGTATGCCAGTGGCTTTGGGCGGGGCTGGTGAGATTCGCTAACATATCGTTGGGGACACGATCAAGTCGTTCGCGATAATGCACATAAAAAGGGTAACATTTTATCTTATCACCCGTTGCCACTACCTCGACTCTGTCCGTGAGCTGAGGCATTTTAACATTCGCTAATGGTTAGCCGCTGAGTGCGCACAGCGATAACCTCTCGCCACCATCACCTCAATCACACTCTGCTCACGAGCAGAAGCATTTAAGTGTCAGCCGATGTTCGACCAGCGTCTGCAGTAAGAAGCAACTCACAGCAATCATGAAATGCTGTGAGTTACATGCGGTGCAGGCTCAAATGTTCGTCCTTCGATCTTGTGCCTCTCTGTAGCCCGATCCACTGTCGAGCATCATGCATATTTTAACGACTTCTTCGATGAATGAGACATACACCTCCCAACAAGTATAAGGACATTTCCATTTTGAAACAAAAGATAGCTTCGTGCTTCTCTTCATGTAGAATAACGCTTACCGTAGGTTAACACGCGCCCATGCGGCCAGTTGGATGCGCTTCGCTCGGGTGAGGGTCAATTTGAGCCCCCGCTCTAATCTCAGGAACTAAGAGAGCTAGGGATGCCAAATTCATAGGGTGTGTTGGTCTGTACGTGAACTCGCTTCGGTAAAAGTTTGAGGTTCATAGGTTATGACCTTCAGGTCAAATAAGGTCAAACACGTAAGTTGTTCAGTGCATTAGCGAGAAACATGATTTGCATAGATAAGACAGTAGTATTAGCTTTCGTCCTCGGAGAAAAAGCAGCTTCTGCCATTGCTTTGATAAAGGCATGTTGCAAAAATATCAACTCAACTATATCTCCATTCTCATGGTTTTTCTCCGAGGAATAAGGCTAATAATACCACTGTCTTGTCTATTGTCAAACACGGTCAAATCTCAGGTTGGTCTCCAAAGGGCCTCTGGAACCTAGATAACTGTTCTTAACAAAAGGTCACATGCTCATCTAAGGCCAGTGACCTTGTTTGACCTTTTAAGGTCATGGTGAACAAAATCATAAAAGGCCGCTTTGAGTGTCGCATTTGGATAAGCGACATAGATTACGCTAGGCAGTACGCTCATAAAAACAAAAAAGTTGATCCGGGTCATTTTAGGTCAGTGGCCTATTATGACCTTTAAGAACTCTATGGGAGGTGTATAATGCGGTTCTTGTTATCAACAAATTCGAAACCAGCACCAGAAACCACTTAATACAGGAAGCCCAAGAGTAATAAGGCGGGTTGATTTTGGTCTTGGTCTGCTTCATACCTGACCTTGCGTCAATGTAATTTGCTCATTGCAAACTACATTTTGATCTGTTGCGTAAGGAAGTATTTCAGAGATGTGCGGACTCGTCTAACATTCCGTTGCTGGATCAAATTGAACTATTGCTTAGAAATCACCTTCGCTGAAACCATGGTCTCACTTCGACATGCCATACGTCAGCAACCTGGCAAGGTTTATCTAAATTGCTTATGCCGGACGATCCGCTATTAAATTGTTTACAGCTATTCAATATTTGGCGCGGCTACGCCGAGCTGTTCGGAAACCATTCCGGAAAAGCCTTCGAGGGGGGGGGGGGTAAGTGGGTGGGGGCAGGTTGGCCCCCCACCCGAGCGCGAGTTAAAATGAGACAGCTTACCTTTTGTTGGACAAATTCGTCTGACTTCACTCGACAATGGAATTACTTCAGACGTTGACAAAATAATGAAATATATAAACGTCTCACATTGCTGAAAAAGTGCTCCACATTCGTGAATAATAGCCAGCAACGTAACAGCTTGGAATAGCATGCAAAGCAACTTAATAAGACAGATGATGCAAACGTTTTCGTCTGTTGGACAATGGAGCTACATTGACCAAACTCCACGACTGATACTCTGCCAGCGGCACCACCCTTCCTGTTCACACGCTGGCCACACGCTGGTCTGTCCCGCGTTGCTCCGCCTGACCGCGTGCCGCCCCGCACTGCGCGGCCGCCGAGCCACGCCGTGATGCGCCGCACTGCGCCGCGCCAGCATTCCTCACTGACCCGTCACACACCGAGTGAACCCGCCCTGAGTTCCATCAGAGGGCGTGTGCCTGGACACAGCCATGCAGCGCAGGCTGTGCACTGACTATTAGTCTGTGCTGAAGCAATCACGGTTGCGATCCTACGATGAAAAGTGTGTCCAGTTATTACAATGGACCACTCCTCGTAACAATTACATTATTAGTGAATGCATTTAACAGTATTCATCATCCCCGTTCATGTGATGATATTTATGCTAATATCTTTCATGTCGTCTTGCCACAATGGAATAGAAACTTTACTTTTTTAACGCTTTACACTGGTACGCCACGAAACTGAATCCATGGTGTTGATTTGTACACACTCGCCGCGGCCTGTTATCAAGTGCAACAAATGTCACCGTCTGCCTAGGAATTTTGACCGCGAAGAAACATAGAGAAAGTTTTATTTCTTCTTGGTGTTATCTAAGGATGTACTATAATGAAGGCCTATTCTGTAGCGTTTCATGTAAGCTTTGAGGTGCAAATCGTGTGTGTGTTAAAATGAGACAGCTTACCTTTTGTTTGACAAATTCTTCTGACTTCACTCGAGAATGCAATTACTTCAGACGTTGACGGAATAGTGAAATAAATAAACGTCCCACATTGCTGAAAAAAAGGGTTACACATTCGTGAATAATGGCCAGCAACGTAACAACTTAGAAATATCATGCAAAGTAACTTAATAAGACAGATGATGCAAACGTTTCTGTCTGTCGGACAATAGAGCTACATTGACCGAACTCCACGACTGCATACTTACTCTACGAACGGCACCACCCTCCTGTTCACACGCTGGCCACAGTGCCCTACTATCGCAGCTACCATTCCATTGCGCTGCTTGTCGCTTTAACATTCGGCCGAGGTGCATGAAACCAAAACCGCCTATATCCTGTTGGAACCCAACCCCACGCCTGGCTCTGACATTCCAAGCCGCTGTGGGACGGCTGTCCGTACTCCGGTCTCACGGTTCGAACCCCGTACCTTGATCAAGACAGTATCTGTTCACCTTCAGGCGCGCCCCGCCAGGCCGTTTCACCTGGACTCACATGTTTAACTCCCAGTGACCTCAGGCCTCACCACCAACGGCACGTCCGGCAAGCTTGAGAAAAAGCGCACCCAGGTCGACAGATCATGCAATATCGCAGGAACATGCGGTATCACACGTATCACACAGTATCACGTGGATCACCCAGTCACCACATCAAACGAAGACCACCCCACTGTGGCCACGGCAGCCGAGTCAGCTCCGGCCGCCGCCGGCCCGAGCGAGCGTAAACAGACCTCTGCTATGATTATATCACCGACCGTCTCAGGTAGCCCGTCCCCGGCAGCCAGTGGGCGCGCTGCTCTCAACACCACTTCAACTGCTCAGACGTTGAACTTCCAGTCAGCTGTTCAACTGCGCACCAACTAACTCAACTGGAGAGACGCAGTGGCCGCCGCTGCTAGAGCAGGTGCTTAATCAGCACCCAGCCGCCATCCCGCGCTGCTCCGCCTGACCGCGTGCCGCCCCGCGCTGCGCGGCCGCCGAGCCCGGCCGTGACATGCCGCACTGCGCCGCGCCAGCATTCCTCACTGACCCGTCACACACCGAGTGAACCCGCCCTGAGTTCCATCAGAGGGCGTGCGCCTGGACATAGCCATGCAGCGCAGGCTGTGCACTGACTATTAGTCTGTGCTGAAGCAATCACGGTTGCAAGCCTACGATGAAAAGGGTGTCCAGTTATTACAATGGACCACTCCTCGTGACGATAACATTATTAGTGAATGCATTTGACATTATGCATCATCACCGTTTATGTGTTGATAACTATGTTAATATCTTTCATGCCGTCTTGCCACAATGCAATAGGAGCTATACCTTTTTAACGCTTTACACTGGTACGCCACGAAACTTAATCTGTGATGTTGATCGGTACACACTCGTCGCAGCCTGTTATCAAGTGCAAAAAGTATCACCGTCTGCCCAGGAATTTTGACCGCGAAGAAACATAGAGAAAGTTTTATTTCTTCTTGGTGTTATCTAAGGATGTACTATAATGAAGGACTATTCTGCAGCGTTTTATGTAAGCTTTGAGGTGCAAATCGACTGTGTAGTTGTGCGTGTGTTGACATTTGCGCTCACGTTATGCTCGTACTTACTAATGAGGACGAAGATAGTTTTAAAGATATATTCAAAGTTTCGTCGAAAGAACTTCGCGCTGTGATGTATTATATTTCTCGGCGGTAAATATCTCCAGAATTATGGGATTCTCCAGATATCTAAGGATATAAAGTCTCTAGAACTATCATAAGTCCGTAGCACGAAAAAAGCAGTAGAAGGCATCTAAACCTCCTGGGAAAGAGCTCTCTCACCGCATGAAATTTGTTCCGTGGGAGCCTGAACTAGGCCTGGCTGACATAAAGTCTCTAAAACCATCATCAGCCCGTAGGACGAAAAAAGCGGTAGAAGACATCTAAACCTCCTGGGAGAGAGCTCTCTCACAACATGAAATCTGTTCCGCGGGAACCTGAGCTAGGCCTGGCTTCCGTCATGCTATTCGACACTTTTGTAAAAACTCACCTTCAGCGCCTCACCAACTGTGAGTGCATCAGATCGTTCTGGGATACCATGACGGTGCCTTACTTTGTGACTGGCTTAGCCGTCCATAGAACGATGTCGTGCTCATTTCTCATTGGTTAACCGTTACACCATTTGCAGACCCTGTGACCAGACGCGCGTAGTATATAAGGTGCTCTGTTGATGGCCATGTATGTTCATAATCTCTGGGATCGAGGACGCAAGGCCGCTGCTGGTGGTATGGGCAGACGTCGTGGTGTCAGCGTTGGTTCGTGCAAGTGACTAGAAAATAGAAGCTGCAGTTCGTCAAAAATCTCACTTTACCTGACTCACGAGCAAGACTGGCACGAGCGAGGTCCATCCCAATATAACCATCACATTAGCAGTAAGCAATCTGCTACAAAGATCCTTCGCTTATATTAATGGGAGTGTTCACGTTCATATGGTGTTTTAAATTGAAATGGCTATCTGAAGACCTTTCGGTGCTGTTCACAGTCCTGCCCTTCTTAAGGCCTAGGCCCGTCTAGTTCTGAGCTACACGCCAGCGAAATGGGGTAAGGTAAAAGGGAGTGGTATTTCAAAGTCATCTCCGCATTTGTGGCGCCATAAGAACGTCATTCAAATCCTGTCATTCCACAAACCGTGCGGCGATCAAGGCCAAGAAAAATGTAATTCTCAAGGCGTGCATATCTGATGTTCATGAGCGTGATTTTCAGGTGTAACGGCCGTCAATTGGTTCTCAATGTTGTGTAAGGTACGATGACGTAATCAAATCATGACGCATTGAGGAGAATATTTACTAAGCAGATAATTGTACTGTCTAGAGCAGTCTCTTCCACCTAAAAGTATATTCATAGTTATAAATGAGCTGGTTTCATCATATCTGGTGCCCCCTCCAATATCCTCAAATGTCAAACGTTCTCTCCAGTATACAGTTTACAGTTTAAGTTTTTCAGTACAGTCATGCAATTTCGATGGCCCTGCGGATGGGCGGACGGATGATAGGAAACGGCCAGAATTAAGCTGTAAGATATGCTCTGCCGAAGGCTGCGTCTTGAATTGAACTGATAATTGACAACAGCAGCCAGGACACTTGAAAATTTGGTTTGTATAGACGACGTCTGAAAAACGACAAAAAAAATATGCATACAGTCTCACCTATCCGTTCAATCTGTGCATGATGACAGTATTTTGCATCTTTGCTGTAGCAAAACGGTGACCAATCGCACGACAATATTCACAGATGGAAGCACAAATAAAAACAAGTACCTCGTGCTAGAGTCTTTCACCGTGCCATCCGCCAATCTCGGAACATTAAGACAAAGAGACGCAGCGATCTCCGTAGTATTGGGGGTTGGAGTCAATGTGTGTAGCCCGCACCGATGCAGATGCGGCGATCTTGCAGGCATTGAGGGTTGCCACGCCTTGACATGGCGTCTCAGCGCTTGAAGACATCCCTGACACACAGCGCTGAACGAAGTCTGTCCTGCAGTCTGCGGGCATGCTCACAATTCTGGAACCAACCGGCTTGGACCGTGGCGACGGCAAACGACCAGACGGGTCGACGATTTACGTTTACTCCCGGGAGCCTGCTTTGGACGATACCTGCGTCAAGGCCTATGAAAAATCCTACGTAATGCCTACCGCGATAACTACTAAAGCTGCTGCGCGAGACGCTGATGATAAAAGCACGCAGAGTACGTCACTTTCCACTAAGATCACTTCAGGTCACTTTCACAAAAATCATTTCACGCCATTTTTTAAAATCAGCTGCGGGGGGGGGGGGGCTGAGCCAATACAGTTGACCAACCTGCCCCCAATCCTGATAACTTTGAAAGTTCGGGCACTTCGATTTCCGTGCCCCATGTCAAAATAAGAATTAATCGGCTCAAAAGCCGTTTTTATGTTGAGCATTGACCTCCCATTTGAAGCCGATGTATTGGCGAAAAATATGATATATGACGATGATTGCTTTGATAGCGATGTGTTTACGTACCTCATGTACCAACAGCTCCAACTCTTGCTGCGTGACATTGGCACAGCATTTCTTTTTTGGCTCTTATGCACTGGGAGAGGGGTTCAGAAGAGTATGGAGGGGGTTCACGCCAGCATTGGGGGAGAAGGTTCAGCCCCCTTCGAAAGCACACAAGGTGACACCCCTGCACACCCGTAGCCATACGAGTGAAAAGGGCGTGACTGTTAATGGAGTGCAATTATCTTCAACTGGCTATCTCAGGTCAAAACCCTTTGCAAATGTGGAACACTCCCTTTAATTTGAGTATGGGTCACCTTGCAATACGGGAAGTTCACATAGTCTGTTTATTTTGTCTTCCTACGTCTTCCATGCGAAACTGATGCATTGTTAAACTGACTAATTGCAGTGTAATAGAAATTTCTCACTCATTGCCCGAGTATCCGTTCTCACAGAAAATAATGGATACTTCAGCGCGTCTACAGCGCGTTTACAGCGTTTACACGACCGGGGATCAGAAGATATACATCGCTCTCTAGATTTGTAACATAAAGACTCCTTTCTTAATAGCCCCTGAGTGTGCGAAATTGCATTGTAGTATGATTGGGGTAGTCTTTCCAGAATTAGTCCGAACCATTTGACTGAGCGCACTTCCGGAATTAGCGCCCCCACTAAGCAGCCTCGTTTGTTGAGCCGGAACTCGACCGTCAAACTTCGAGTGAAGGACAGCATTTTGCGGCGACAGATTAACGTACCACAATGTTCAGCACGGTCCATCCGCCCTCGGTTATTATCTGACCGTTTTTGTGCGGCCGCTGCAAATGGCCACAGTCTATCCCAGTCGGGGGCAAGACTCAGCGCATAGGCACAACGTCGGTGCACTCGTCTAATTTGAGCCGACACAGTTAGAACAGGGATCGCCTGCATTTCCGGGCATCCTGATCCTTGTAGACGCCTCGGTTATTTATCAGCTCTTAAATCTCCTTGGTCATGCCTGTTTTCCCTGTGATGGTCGTAGCATGATGTTATGCCATTTAGTTTATGAAAAGAATGTGCCGTTTCGCAGGCCCGGTAAGCTCGAAAATGACCTTAAGGAATGGTTAATGCGACCGTATATTAATGGGAACCCAGCCTTTAGCAGGTAGAAGTTAACAAGCTGTAATTTAAAGACTGACGAAGAACGAAATGGTTCTACTGCTCACCAAATTGCGTTTAAACACTGGCATTACAGGTCATATACAACGGCAGATTACTACGACCCTACCAAGGCACCTGGACTGCAGTCGTACCCCCTCGCGGTCAAAACAAAAGGCATATACCATAGGCAATTGGTGCTTGTTGCTCATTTCGCGACAAGTAACACAAAATATGTCAATGTTGTAACTGCAAGGGCGGCGGCTCCCTATATCGGTTAGGGTGCTTTCACCCGCCCCGCACCCTCGGGGTCTTCCATCTTCCACGCGTTCCGGTGCCAGCACGGCCCTCCACGTTTCTTCGCAGGTCAGTTCTCTCAGCTCGCCTGTGAGAGGGACTTGGCTCGCTGGTCACCGTGCCGTTCCGTGCCTGCCCACGGGACTCGGCGTCCTGAGGATCGGTTCACACCGACAGCGGAGCGGGCGAGCGGAACAGGAGCGAAACGGAACGTGATAGAATAAATCCTACCGCAGCCGGCGGGCCGA